GTTTCTCTTTTTTCTGTCAATTGCTTCTGAATTTCAGAAGTAATTGATAGTTTTATCAAAATATTTTTTGTTCTGTGTATGAAACCATATTTAGAAATTTATTTAGAGTTGAATTATGTATAACGTAGTCAAAATAAAAATTCATATTCAGATAAAGCTAAAAGGGACGCCAACTAATTTTGGAAACCTATGTAGCGTCTTCTGTTAAGAGATGTACGTTTGAATTACACGGGGCTCATTTGGCCGTCAAGGAAGTAAAAGCTACATACAGAGAATTTTCCAGAATTGTTCTTCATTAGTGAGAGATATAACACATAGCGTCGTAGCAGGAAGGAAAAAAAACATTGTACTTCTCTTTTCGATAAAAAAGACATATGTTTTGTTTCCAGAATGACAGTGGATTTAAATACAGTACATTTTGCTGAATTGAGTTTTCCTGAACGGGCTCGGCTCGACTGGACACGACCCGATTCGGCTGCGTTTTTTCGAAAAACGACTCGATTCGGTTCGACCTGGGTCGAGTCGAATCGAATTGACTCGACGAATATTCGACTCGTTTCGGCCTCTGGTAGAAGTATCTGACCCGGAAACCGCCTGAGATGCTAAAAACTTTTTTCAATGGAACTATTTTTAAAATGTAGGCCCTTATGGGCTATTAGAACCCCAACTTGGTCGGGTGCAATCAGCTTTGTTGCTGAGATTTTTAATGTTGCATATGCACAGACGTAAGTACAGAGAGTAAGTTTTTTGTAACTAGTATAAGGAAAAACATAATCACGCCATATAACAGAATTGCTCCATTTTACGTTAGCTTGGAAAGAAATGTAAGAAAACCAAACAAGCAAAATTTCGTCATCAGCGCTGTGATGACCTTTTATTCGAAAGGATAAGTGATTGATCACGGACGCGCGTGAAGCATTTAATTGAAGCGTGAGCGCGCATTCTCTTAGTTATCTGCATCAGCTCCAACTCTGAAGTTGAGGATTTTTTGGTGGAGTTGGAGTTGAGATTTTAGTAGGCTGGAGTTGGCTTTTTGAACTTTTATTCTCAACTCTGTTTCGCGTTTTGAAAATATTCTGTAGTTGTAAACTGATCTTCTAGACGATAGAGTGGCTGTATTCACGAGTGAATTAGGAAGTTCTTTGCGCTTTCCTCCCGGAAAAAGCTCAGAAACGTCCAGAATCCTACTAAAAGCCGGAAAATCTTCCTTACAAAAGTGAAGCAATGCACTCTTAAAAATAATGCGACTTCTAAGAAGACACATAAATCGGATCCCAAAAAGCCGCATTTTTGTGACTCCTTTGAAGACACATGATGCGACTTTACCTGGTACTCACTTTATAGCGTCTTTGCTCTAGTCGCATTAAAGACACGTAAGTCGGATCCCGTTTAGTCGTATTTTAGCGACTCTTTTGAAGTCGCTTCGATATGTCTTCTGGAGAAGACATGTTAAAAAAATTTTCGTTCCTGCCAAGAATTGAACTCGGTCTATTCACTTACGGGACAAATGCGTTCACCACTGAACCACACAAGCACATTAGTTAGTCTAATTAACATCCTACGTTGACATTTCGTGTGAGACTTTGATTAAAAATTTAGAGACACATGAAAGGCGGAATGATGTGGCTACTAAGCGTCTTTCTCGTTCACACGTCTTCTATGCAATTCCTATGTGACTTCTATATACCTACCAGTACATACATTGAAGACATATAGAAGACACCTACTTGTAAAAAAAAAAGAAGAAAAAGAAAGGAATTTCCATTGAATAAATATATAGAACAGCAAAACGAAAGAGGAATAGACCCATGACATCATTTTGACTGTTCAACAAGCGAAAATTGCTAGTATAATAATAAGTAAGACAGACACACCTAACCCATGTAGTCAATTTTCGCTTGTTGAACAGTCAAAATGATGTCATGGGTCTATTCCTCTTTCGTTTTGCTGTTCTATATATTTATTCAATGGAAATTCCTTTCTTTTTCTTCTTTTTACAAATAAAGCTTAGATCAAGACACCTACTATTTTGAAGTCGCAATCCAGTCACATACAAGATACTTTTTCTCGGCAGTCACATCGCTGAAGTTGCATTTTTTTTTAGAGTGTGGAGTTCAGATTTTTGTTGAGAAAGTTGAAGTTGAAAATTTGAAAACGGAGTTGAGTTGGAGTTGAAAGTCAGCGGAGTTGCTCAGCCCTGTGCATATTGACTACCGTCGGCGTCCCTCAAAAGGCGCTAGAGCTACAAACGGTTCTGCATTAGCAGCGATTTATAGATACGACCCAGTACGTCTATCACAAGCCAACTATTTCAGTTCGTTTATTTCAACGACACTTTCTGGTACAAAATGGGAACATTACAAAGTATTTTCACTTGATATAAACAGCGTGATTCGTTTTGTTCGATTGTTTTTGACGTATTCTTGAAAGCAATTTATATTATCAAAAAATCGGATAAGTACAGACTTTCTCAGTAATCCTGTAGCGAACTGACGCATTAGCAGAAAGGCACTTAATGGGGAGTTGCGTGGATGGTTACCATCTCCTTGCTTTCAGAAAAGTTTCTGTTTTGTGTCTTTCGTTCTTCAAAAGCACATATTTTTTGGAAGAACAAAAAGCTTTTTTTGACAGGACATTCCTCTGCTCTGAGTTGCTAGGTACTAAGCGCCATTACTGCAGAACAGCAACGGTGAGATTTCTTGAAATTATTATTGAGAACAATAGAGGGAACGAAAGAGACAACTTATTTTCAACATTATGTATATTCGATTAAAGTACCCATGGGAAAATTTTGGTAGATATCGTAGGATTCTATAGAGTCTTTTTTCCTTGATACACTGATTCTGTATGGATTTTGTTATTATCAAAATAGTTGACGAAATCCATGATACCTACAACTTTATACAAAATTTTTTTATGCAAATTGTGAGATAAAGTTATCTTTTTTAACGGCCAGCTATTACACATTCTTTTTTACTGTTTCAAATTCTAACGGTTCTTGAGAGTACAGGGTATTTGTATTATTTAGTTTAGTGTACACTCTGAGTTTTATCGCTGCTACAGCGAAAAAAAAAGAAGAAAATGTGTCTTTTCAATTATTAGATTAGATAACATTTTAATGTTACAGGTCCTATTTCTTTCGAACTACTTGGCTCTTTACTAATACATTCATTTCGTCTTTCTTCTTCGTTTTACACTTTTGAAAAGAAAGAACTAACTATGTTACTCTCCTTCTCGCGTACACTCATTCTATTCGTCGTCATTACTATCCTGTTAAGTTACTTTTGTTCAGAATTAAATGCAGTTGGTGTTCAAGCATCATCAAGCAGTCTATTACGGCAACGGCGACGTGTCTTACCTTCATTATCGTTGCATCGTCATCGCAAACCGTCGAGTGGTCATCGGAAAACACAAAGAATTGTACAGAAACAAAAAATATCGCGTAAAGTAACACCGATACGAGGTGGAAGGGGTGGCTATAAAATTAAACAAAAAGTGAAATATTCACGAAAAGTAAAACATGGTTAATAAAGACTGACCGACAGTATGAACCATATCTAGAAACTCTACTTTACCTGTAATATGATTTTCTTTTTTGATGAAATAAATAACAAATAGAATGTATACTCTTTTTTAAAAGCTTTCGAAACCTGGAGGTTTACAGCGAGGGATTTATTGCCCTAACAGAGTGGGACTGAGTTCGCTACTAAGTGGAAGGCTGACTTTGTTTCAGGCCTTGAAACCAGACTATAGTGTGTTGATAAAATCTGTTTTTTTATCGCATGTAACTTAGTTTTTGACAATACCTAACAGCAGATACGATTAACAGGGGTCATGAGATAGCTTAGGGAAAACATTAAAAAAGATATTTTTGATATTTTTAAGCAACAGGAACAAAGTTATCTAGAGTCATGATGTAGAGCTAGATGGCTGATTTTGATCTAATATAAGCAGTTCAACAGCTGACTCCATCGCTGATTCCATTTAATTTCTATGATCAAAGAAAGTTATACTGATGTAAAAAAGACTCAGTGGAGGAGCCAGAAATGTGCAAAAGTTAATGTCTAACGAACAGAAAAAGTAATTAGTACAGAAAAGTACTTAGTGCAAACAAGTCGAGTTTAAACATTACAATCATCTTATTTCTTTAACCGCGATATACTTGCATTATTCATAGAAGAATTATATATGATTATGAGGGAACTATATATTTTATATGATTCATACGGAATTTTGACCATGAATTTGTCTTTTCTCTAAATATGTAGAAAGATATGTATTTATCACCGAATTGTTTCGATGATGTGCTACGTATATATTCTCAACTGTTTTTCAACAACTTTTTTCAGCGACTGCTTTTCTGTAACGAAAAAAACGCTTGTAAAACAAAATTTACTTAGTGCAAACAAGTCGAGTTTAAGCATTAAAATCTTCTTCTCTTCAGCTTCTGAACCTATCTTTTCCGGATTCAGCGTTATATGCGATAAATTTTGTGATTAGTCTGACTAAATTAAAGAGAAGAACGCACACCAGATACTTGTTTATGAATATCAAATTTATTCCCGTACAATATAATAATACGAAAAGAGAGTATTGAATACATTTTATAGCAGCATCGGTAGATCAATAATTTGTTTATATATCTGATCAATTATTTCTCTTGAATTGCATGTATTCTTGTTACACGCATACGTAATTCCATAATCTGTGCTGTCCTCTGATTTTTCGAGGTTAATCGCAATTCCTGCGGGTCTCAAAAAATTTTTGGGTATGCACAGTTGATCCATTGCCTTCAGATCGCCAGCGCTTACACCGATCATTGCTTGACAATAACCACCATTACATGGTACTGTTTGACCTTGGTGTAAACATTGTAATTCATCAAGATCGCGCGAATCGTATAATGTCGTCGCCATCTGTTTGGCAAGAATTGTGTACATAGTTTCGTTGAACGTTGCAAGTACTTTCTGGCCATACGTCACTGCACATTCACCGTCATCAAAACATAGATAGATGGATTGAATATCAATTTCGTTTCCTTTGAAAGACATTGTTGTTACTTGGGCGATCATGTTCGCATTCGTTAATAATGATTCATTTTCATCTCCATTCAAAGATATATTGAACGTTTGTTTTTTAAGATGAAAAGACGCAGTCATCAGACACTTTCTGGCTGTCACGTTTTTGCACTCGGTGAAGTTAATGGATGAATTGTTAATTGATAAATTCGAAAAGAAGCAATCTGTACACTGAAGATCCAGACCATATATGATTACTGTCAAGCAAGTAAGGATAAAAAACGTCAGTAAACGTGTCATTTTCTTCTATCTTCCGATGGAGCAACGATGTGTATGAAACTTGTTTGTTCTATTTATGATATATTCAGATGGCGTCCATATATCATGTCATCAACTTGACAATGGAGTGAATCGGCTGCCAATGACGTCAAACCGATATGAAAACCTTCTAAGGGTTTATGACAGAAGAACTTTAGAAGATTAAGGTTTTCTCAAGTTTTTCTTCTTGTTTTTGCCGCCAATGGCATTCAAAATATACTTCGACTGTTGCATAATTGAACCGGTCAGCCAGTAAGAAACTGCAAAAAGTTGAGAAACAATGGAAAGTTTGATCGAACTAAGTGAATGATTTTAATTTTTTCCGCTACGTTTGAAACTAACTTTATACTACCATCGTAGTGCCTCAGAAAAGTGCGGATTAAGTTAGCCTTCTTCTTGCTGATAGGGGAGAAAGGTTGACGAATAAGGATGATGCTCAATAATTAGGCGGAAGAGAAGTTAAAAACATTATGGAATATGCGGACGCCGTCGTAGCATATATTTAAGTACCTTTTAGAAGAAAGATAGATGCACTTACTATTCATTTGATACTGAATCAGCGTTTGTAGGTAGATTAAACCTTTCTCGAAGGAGAAGAATATAGAACGCAAAAACTGATAACGCTTTATTTAATGAACAAGCACCCTCAGTGCACGGAAATTATTAAAACAAAAACTATCTTGAGTTATATTATTCAACTATGTTTTTCTTTGCCATTGTATATGCTCTCTATCTTCATAATACTGCTCAATGTGAGGATGAACGGCCTCCTCTCTGTTTATATGGATGCTTCGGAACCACATCAACGCAAAATATAAATATAACACTTGACCCTGATCCACAGTTTTGCTCAACGAATGTTCAGTCAACGCTTGGATGCAGTAATCAACTCCAAGGCACGTTACCAAATATTGCTTATTTATTTTCACCTGTTGGCTCCGATCAACTCATACTATCCAATGGTGACCCTATCAGCATATTCACACTGTCGTTATGGTTTAGAAAAAATACGGCTGACGTCATGCAGTCAGATCTGTGTTTCGAAGGTAATCAGTGCAATTTGATGAAAGCAAATGAATCGATGCGGAATTTGGCCAAGCTGAGTTATGATGAATTACGAAATAAAATATCAAGTATTGTGTATGATCCTTTAGGAGGGGGTATAGTGAACTGCATCGATGCAAATGGCAAAGAGACGTCATGTAATGGTTCTTGTGAATCAACTTTCACGTATGGCTATCAAATGGACTCAACTGCAACAAAATGTGCACGATTAGCAGGCATCAATAGAGATGTAAAAGATATCATTGGAGTTCTTGTACGTATAACACGGGATAATCAATTGAAACGATCGCAGGTTCGTTTCGGGTGCAATCGACATCTTTGCAACAAGAAGGAAAATGTGGATAGTATTCGACAACTACTTATCGATTATGGTGTACTCGAAAAAAGTAACACAACGAAATCTTTCTCGTGTCAACAAGTTTCACAGACATGGATGATTGCAGTCTCAGCTATACTATTAACTTTTTACACATCATACTTCAATTAATCAATTGCTGACACGAGTTGATAATAAAAAGTTCATTTTTCTCATTTATAATTTACATCTAATTGGATCACAATTAGCTTCTCGCAGTCTACCATTAGCTGCTTGTGTAAGTCCACCGATAATCTCTAGCTTAACAGAGAAGAACTATTAGATGAACTTCTACTTTTTATTCTTCGAAGAAGTGAAACACCTTTATTCATTTTTTTACTCAGTCATGGAAATGTTTGCCTATTGATTTGGTGTATGACGACTTGGTTTGTCGCTTTTCTTTTGATTTAATTAGTATCACTATTTTCATTGATTGAGATAAGTTTATAGGTTTACAATAATTAATAAACATAGCGCTTCTGAAAACACGAATGAATCCTGTAAACGTTGTTCAATATTTGTCCGAGCTCGTGAGTTAACTGCTCAAGTTGAACCATAGTGACCTTACATGCGAAGAAAGAAAGAGTTTTAAAAACCTGTTCAGTAGAGTTTCAAATAGTGGACAAGTGTAGGGATTGACGGGGTTCGAAGTTAAGATACAGGAGGTTCTAAAGATCTCTAAAAATAAT